TTGAAGTCACACGTGTGCCCTCTGTCTATGTATACTCCTTCTAACTGCCCTAATAATGAGAAAGGTTTTGAGTTACAAACATCACCTTCCCATGTAGGAATGTAAACAGTTTAACCTTAAGTCCCTTATGATCTCCCTTTCCTGTTCACCCCTTTATGCTTCTCTTGAGTCTTATATTTGAAAGTCAAATTTTCTGTTCAGTTCTTGACTCTTGTATTTGAAAGTCAAATTTTCTGTTCTGCTCTGATCTTTTCATTAAGAATGCTTGAAAGTCCTTTATCTCATGGAATGTCTATTTTTTTTCTCTTGAAGGATTACACTCAATTTTGTTGGGTAGGTGATTCTTGGTTGTAATCTAGCTCCTTTGCCCTTCAGAATATCAAATTCCAAGCCCTCTGATCCTTTAATGTAAAAGTGCTAAATCTTGTGTTATCCTGACTGTGGCTCCACCATGCTTGAATTGTTTCTTTCTGGCTGCTTGCATTATTTTCTCCTTGACTGGGGAACTCTAGAATTTGGCTATAATATTCCTAAGAGTTTTCATTTTGGGATCTCTTTCAGGAGATAATCAGTGAATTCTTTCAATTTCTGTTTTACCATCTGGTTCTAGAATATTGGAGCAGTTTTCCTTGATAATTTCTTGAAAGATGATATCTAGGCTCTTTTTTTTTTTTTTTATCATGGCTTTCCCATAGTCAGATACTTTTTAAATTATCTCTCCTGGGTCTATTTTCCAGGTCAGCTGTTTTTCCAATGAGATATTTCACATTGTCTTCTATTTTTTTTCATTCTTTTGGTTTTGTTTTATTGTTTCTTGATTTCTCATAAAGTTATTAGCTTCCATATGCTCCATTCTAATTTTTAAGAAATTATTTTCTTCAGTGAGCATTTGGACCTCCTTTTCCATTTAGCCAGTTCTGCTTTTTAAGGCATTCTTCTCCTCATTATCTTTTTGTATCTTTTTTACCATTTGGCCTACTCTGTTTTTTAAGGTGTTATTTTCTTCATTATTTTTTGTGTCTCCTTTACCAAGCTATTGACTTGTTTTTCATTATTTTCTTGCATTACTCTCATTTTTCTTCCCAATTTTTCTTCTACCTCTCTTATTTGATTTTCAAAATCTTTTTTGAGCTCTTTGGTGGCCTGATACCAAATCATATTTTCCTGGAGAGTTTAGATTTAGGAGATTTGACTTTGTTGTCTTCTTCTGAGTTTGTGTTTTGATCTTCATTGTCATCATAATAACTTTCTATAGGCAGAAGTTTTTTCCTGTTGCTCACTCATTTCCCTAGCCTATTACTTGATTTTTAACTCTTTGTTAAAGTAGGGCTCTGCTTCCAGGGTAGAGGGAGCACTGTTCCAAGCTTCAGGGGTTTTGTGCAGCTGCCTTCAGAGATGCTTGTAGGGTTCTATAATTTTCACTTCTTCCAAGGAGTTACGATCTAAGGAGAGGTGTTTACTCCATTCCTGACCTGTGCTCTGGTCTGTGAGCCACTACAAGCACTCTTTTCTGCCCTGGAACTGTGAGGAGAGCCCCCTCCACCTCCACTGTGGCCGCAAGCTCTGCTATGCTCATGCTCCTCACCCTAGGACTGTGACCCAGATCCAAGAATGGGCAAAGCAACAGAGTCCTGCCTCAGTGCTAGCTAAAAGACCCCCGTAATCTCCTGACCAGTTAGTTGTTCAATCCCTTTACGGCCTGTGGGCTGAGAGCTCTGGAAGCAGCTGCTGTTTCAGTCACTCCCGCTTGTTGTTTGCTGTGGCCAAGGCTGTGCCGGCACAGCTTGCACTGTATTGTGCTCCACTCTCACCCTGGTGCAACAGCCCTTTCCTTCTGAACTTCCAAGTTGTCTTTGGCATCTGTGGGCTGAGAGGTCTGGAAACTGCTACTGCTGCCAGTGATTCAGTCTCCCGGAGGCCTGCTCTGGGTTGGCCGGGGCCCTGTCTACACTGGCGTAGCCTGTCTGCATTGGACTAAGCTTCTCTCTCTCTGTGGTGCAACAGAGCTTTCCTGCCAACCTTCCAAATTGTCTTGGGCTAGAGATTTGTTTCATTATGTCCTTCTGAGAGTTCTGCAGCCCTAGAATTTGTTTAGAGTCATTTTTTTAAAGGTATTTGGAGGGCTCAGTTGAATCCCTGCCTTTATTCTTCCATCTTGGCTCCATCTCTCAACAGCACTTTTTCTCATAGCAAACGTGTGTGTTCATCAGTTGGGGAATGGTTAATCAAATTAGGGTATATTATTGTAATGGAATACTGTTGTTCTATAAAAAATGACAAAAAAGATCTAGAGAAACCTGTGAAGACTTAGATGATTAATGCAGAGTGAAATGGGTAGGACTAGGAGGATTATTTGTATGGTGACTGCAGCATCAATCATAATGTAAAACAATTTTGAAAGACTTAAGAACTTTGATCAGTACAGTGGCCCATCATAAGTTCAAAGAACTGAAGAGGAAGCATGCCTGCCACAGGGTGATGGACTCAGTGCAGAATGAGAGACATTTTCAGATACTGTTAATAATTTTCTTGGCTAGCCTTATTTATTACAAAGAAGGACTTTTTATTTGGGAGTGAGGAGAGTTATGGGGAAGAATCTGGGGATGTCCTAGTGTTGGAAAAAAAAAACAAAACGAACAAACAAATTACATTTAAAATATATACCGAAGATAAGAGAAGGAAATTTAGAAGAGGAGAAAGACAATAGTTCAATGTTGGTAATTGCATTTTAAATTTAAAATATTTTTTATAAAAAATATAAAAAAACAGTTTAATAGGTTCATAGTTTCATATGCAATTATTGTTCTCACCTTTGTATATAGAAATGTTAGTTTGTTGACAGTTTTCTATTTTATAGTTTAAAAAATTTTAAAAGAAAAAAAATAAATCACTTACCTTCTTTGAGTCTCAAGTTTCTTCATGTGTAAATCTGGGTTTAGAACGAGACCTGTAATTTCATTACCATGGGGAACTCATAGGTGAAATAACTCCCTTTTTCAGTGATGACCAACACTTTTCTCTGCAATTTATGGTCTTAAGAGAGTTGCCTAGAGCACTGAGAGGGTGACTTGCCTGTGGTCACAGAGCCAGGACTTGAACCTAGATTTTCCTAGTTTTGAGGCCACTGTACCATACTGACGAATATATCTGTAAAATGTGCATATTAATATCTCCAGTACTGTCCTTATAGGATTTTATAGGAATGCATTTTGTGTACCTCAGAGCATTTGAATTATTGGTAGTCACATGTATTCTGCACGGAAAGGGATAAAAGTCCACTGCCTTAAGTGACTTAAAATTTTTGTACATAGCTTTCAATGTTGATTTCTATTCCCACCCCCATATTCATAGTTTCTTTAAATTTTAGGAGCAAAGAATCATGAGTTTTAAAGAAACTTATATGCAGTCTAACTTTTTGTACCTGGAAAGATCATATTTTTTTAAAGTGTGCATATATTTATTACAGTTTTAGCATTCAGTTTTTAATAACAGTGTATTTCATTCAAAAGTGCCATGGTGCACAAGCTAAAATATTTCATTTGCAGAAAAAAGGTAATTCAGTGGCCACATGTAGTCATGGTCTCTTATAGAATTTTATGTCATAATCTGAAAAATTGATCTATTAATATGACTTTATCCTCTTAAAAGAAGATTATTATTTTTCTGATAAATGAATCACTACCATAACCTAGAAAGTTTGTGAAGTGATCTATCTGTAATCACTGGTCCTACAACTTGGCTGTAAATTTGGAAAAGATACCACTTTTTTCAACTGCCAGAAGCACCATCTTAGGCAAAGGCTCACCATGTCTCATCTCATACTTCTCTAAAGCTTTCAATAACCTTTAAGCCCTTTTGCCCATAGGGAATGTTCAAATTCTATAGGGTGGCATTTAAGGCCCTCTACAGTCTTACTCCAATATACCTTTCCAGCTTTATTTCTTATTACTCCCATTAATCTCCTGTAAAATCTCAGCCAAGCCAGACTTCTCTTTGTTTCCAGAACACTTAGGATCATAGTATCATATGTGTATAGCTAGAAGAGTTTTTACAGGTCATCTAATTTAACTCCCTCAATTTATAAATGAAGAAACTGAGTTCTGAAGGTCAAATGACTTGCCCAGTGTCATACAGGTATTAAATGGCAGAGCCCACATTCAGATTCAAGTATGATGAGAAATTCAAGTTCATAGCTCTTTCCAAGACATGTGCTTGTCCTATGGCTTTGCAAAAGCTGTTCTTCATTCCTGGATCTCACTCTATTCTTATTTCTTACTCTTAAAATCCTTATCTTCCTCAGCTTAAGTGCCACTTATTCCATTAAGCCATTCCTGACTTCTGAATTGTTAGTGTTTCTCCTCCCTCAAATTACCTTGAGTTTTAAAAAAAATTACGAACCAGAAAGTCATTAATAAATATGAACATTCCTAAACAAAAAAGATCAGAAAATAGGCATTGTACATGAAAAGTTTACTACATATAAAAGTATTTACGAATACTATTAAATTTAACATGTTACTTTTAACATTACCCTGCTTATCATTGTTCCGTCTAAACTCCATCTATGCTCACTTCTTATACATTTTTGAACTGAATGGAGCAACTTACTTCTCTGTGGCTGTTTTCAGATATTTACTGTGTAACGTGTAGAAGTAGGCTTTTCTGACACGTTTCGATTTGCCGTCTTAAGTCAGAATAGTGGTTTTCAAAATCATCGTCTATATTTGGCATCTTAAAATATCGAAATTGGAAATAGTGGCTGTGATTTCCTTTAGAATATCAATTATGATTGAAAGGAAAGTGACTGCCTAAAAACTGCACTTAAAACATATATAGCATAGGAAAGAAAAAATTGAAAGTCAAATGTCTCATGTGATCTTGAGTCTTCTGTAAATTTAGAATAGTTGATTTTTCTTCAGGTAATTTAAAAAATTTGGCTCTACATACTGTGAGTGTGTGTGTGTGATAAAACCTACCTTTCTTTGTTTTCCTTTCTGCAGATGAAAACCAGAAAATTCTAATGTGGTGCTTATGTTGTCTCTACTGCAGCGAACCACAGAACCCTGTAGAGTTGGAAGCCAACATTTGGATAAGGGTGAGAGAATGAATCTTTTTCTGAACCACTTTGAATTAAATTGGTCATTTAAAGATTCTTGATTATTTCATTTCAGAAACTACTTTAGAGTAGTTATGTTTAGACATAATTTATGCTAATACATTTGTAGTAGCTTTAGCCTACTGCAATATTAGCCGCAGTGTCAACTTTAAAAAATTAACTTCAGTTTTTGCTTAATATAGTGTTAAATGTTTCTGTGATACTTACAATCTGAAGTTCAATTGCTTATAGAAACTTTAATTACATGATAATGAATTTCTCCTTTATTCTTGGTAGGAAACAGACCATCCCTCTTTTTTTCTTTCAGAGTGGGTGATGGTTTCTCCCCTGTCATAAATACTTCAGTATTAAAAACAAAAATTTTAATACTGCACAGAGATAACCTCTATTTTATGAGTTAAAGTTGTTGTCCATTCCAACAACTTTACAGGCTAGCACCTGACTACTGTTTGGCAACTATTATCCACACGTTTGAGAGGCAATTCTTCTTTCCTGAATTTTATGTCAGTATCATAGATTTCTAACACACTGATGTGTTTGGATTCCTGTAGCTCTTCAACATCTTCCTTTGATCAGCAGTAACACATTTAGAAGGGTACTTAAGGCCGAGCTGAGGTTTCCACTATCGTAGCAAGTTGGCTGTCTTTTCTCTCTGTTTGAAGTCATCTAGGTGGCACTGGGCCTGGAGTCAGGAAGACCTCAGTTCAAATCTGGCCTCAGACACTTACTAGCTGTGTAATCTTACACAGGTCATTTAACCTCTGTCTACTTCAGTTTCCTCTTTTGCCAAACAGTGATGATAATAATGGCACTTACCTCCCAGGATTGTTGGGATCAAATGAGTTATTTGTAATGTGCTTAGCACAGTGCCTGGCACATAGTAGATAATAAATACTAGCTATTATTACTATTACTATGAAATGATGACAATGATGATGACTTCTAGTACTACTACTACTACTATTACTACTACTACTACTGCTACTACCACCACTACCACCACTAAAACTAATCCATATAATGGTCTTGTGTCTATCATGTCTCTGTCAGGAGATGGATAACATGCTTCCTTTTAGTCTGGAGACGTGTTTGGTCATTGTATTAATCAGAATTCTTAAGTCTTCCAAAGATGTTTTTCTTTTCATTGTTACTGTTCAATGAATTGTTCTTCTGGTTCTGTTGATTTCACCCTGGATCAGTTCATATTATTAAGGATTTTCTGAAATCTCTTTTACTGTTTGTTACTGTGTAATAATATTCTTTTACATTGATATGCCACAATTTGTGTAGTCATTCCCCAATTTTCTAAGATGCAATCTAAGGCCCACCTTTAGATTCTAGTTATTTTCTCCTGGTGCTTTTATTCCCATCTTCATCATCATGTGTTTGTTTTGCTTGAGACTTCTCTTCCTCATATTATCTGCTTTCTTACTCCATTCCTCTCTTAGTCTTTTTCCCTTGTTGAACTTGATGTATTTCTGTTCTAAACTCTTTATGTGTATGTGTGTTTAACCTCCTTTCTCCATTTCAGAAGAATCAGGTTCATCCAATGTCCATTTCCCCCCACTCCTTCTTCCATGTTTCTCCCCTTTCCTCTCATCAAAACCTCAGAACAGAACCAATCTTCCCCCAAGTTCTCTGTTTTTCTTGTTTAACACTCTCAATATTCTTTGAAGATGTAAAAGTTCCGAAGAGACACTTATTTCTTCTTCTTTTAGAATGTTAGCACTGCATCATTATACAGCTCCTTCCAGTTGCTCAAATATCTTGTATTTGTATTTCAAAGTTCCTATTCATCTCTGATCTTTTTACCAGAAATGTTTGAAAGTCCCTTCTTCCATTCAAGGTTCATTTTTTTCACCTGTAGAATTATACTTGGTTTTGAAGGGTAAATTATTCTTGATTATCAGCCTAGATCTTTTGTCTTTTGGAACATTACATTCCCAAGATCTCCTCATGTTTGTAGTAGAAGCTGGTAGGGCTCCTGGGATCCTGACTGAGATCTGACTGAGAACTGCTTCTTTCTTTATATATGTGATATTTTTTTTCTTTTATATGGAAACTCTGGATTTTTTACTATGACATTTGAAAGAAATTAATCTCCCTGTAGATCCCCTGGGTATTGATCTCTGCCTCTAGGAGTTAGTCTTATCCTGGATCTTTGACATCCAGAGTGCTAATATTCACTGTACTCTTTGATTTCTTAGGATAATGTGCCCAAGGCTTTTAAGGCCCTGGGGTGGGGTCCATCTTTTATCATATCCCTTAATGGGATTACCTCACTCTCCACTTGTTTGCAGAGGTGGGTGGGTCTTGTTGTATTTAATAATGCATCTGTTTCAGGTTTTTTAGTATATTGATCATTTTCACTTAATTTTTCTTTTTCCTTTTTTTTTTTTTTTTTTTGCTGTATGAATTTGGAAAGGTAATAGGACATAAAAACCACAGAAGATATCAGTAAAACTTTATTTTTTAAAAGAAATACAATTAGAAAATACACTGACTTTTTTGAGCCCCAAACTTCACCAAATCAAAGCAAAAACAACTGGAAACTAGCAAACAATAGAAAGGAGGCCCACCAGCAGAACTGTTGATAAGCTTCCAACATGACCAGAAATTACCAGAACACTAGTAAACTGCAAAGCTCTGTGTTCAGAGGCAGCAAGACTAGAAGAAATAAAGACCTGGGCTGGGGAACCTGACAGTGCTTTGGAGAAATACCAGCCCAGGGCCTCAAAAGCCCCAGGCTCATTATCCCAAGACATCAAAGGGTACAGTGAATATTAGCACTCTGGATGTCAAAGATCCAGGATAAGACTAACTCCAAGAGGCAGAGATCAGTGTTAAGTACCCTATCCAATCCCCCCAAGAGAGAGCCAAATCCATATTGTTGTTTCTGATTGCCTAAGATTTTCTAAGTTAACCATCATGTCATCAGCAAATTAGGATAGTTCTGACTGCTTTTTGCCTTTCTTTGAACATTTAATGTCTTTTTCTTGCTGCTATTGCTAGCTTTCCTATAACCACATAAAATAATAATAGGGAGAGGTGAATCCCTTCTTTAATTCTTTATTTATTAGGAGGGTAGCTAGTCTCATGAAAGGAGTCTGGTAGGGTGCTTTCTTTCTCAGTTGAGAATAATTTGTGTAGTATTGTCACTAATTATTCTTTTTTGTTTTGTTTTGTTTTGTTTTTAGGCACTTGGGGTTAAGTGACTTGCCCAGAGTCACACAGTTAGTAAGTGTCAAGTGTTTGGTCTGAGGCCAGATTTGAGCTCAGGTCCTTCTGACTTCAGGGCTGGTGCTGTATTCCACTGTACCACCTAGCTGTCCCTAGTCACTAATTATTCTTTAAAAATTTGTTAGATTTCTCTTGTAACTAGGAGTTGTTCCCTTTAAAGATAATTCCTGTTTCCTTGGATTAATTAAGATCTTTATTTGAACATTGGATCATTTAAGATCTTTATTTAGTCTTCTGTTAATTTTTGTATTTTAAACTTTTTGAAAAAATTCTGCTTTTGTGTTTCCAATTTTCTTAGCATATAACTGCAAAGTGGGTTCTGGTATTTCCTTTCATTTTTTCAGGTTTTGTTGTGATTTCCCTTTGTTCATTTGTTATTCTGTTGATTGATCTTCTTCCTTCATTCTAATCAGGTTGAATAAAGATTTATCAATTTTCAAACTGCCAACTGTTAATTTTATCTTTTTCCAAACATAAGGTATTGATCAAATCACATTTCTGCTAGACTGCTTTCCAGTTTTCCTAGCAGTTTTTCCTGTGTAATTTATTTTTCATTTTATCAGACACAGATTATTGAGTTCCTTATTTCTGACTTTCCTTTGTCTAGTCAGTTTCATTGATCTATTTCTCTATTTTTTAATCAATACTGGATGGTTTTCATGACTGCTGCTTTATTATAAAGTTTGAGGTCTACAACTGCTATTTCCATCTTTAACCCTCCCTCTTTTAATAATTTTCCATTATATTCTAGAGTTTTTGTTTTTCTAAATGATTTTGTTATTGCTTTATCAAATTCTATAAAATATCTCTTTGGTCAGTTGATTGGTAGGAACCAGTTATGTGGGGGCATTGTATAGAAAGCTGTGGACTAGGAGTCAGGAAGACCTGCATTTATATGTGGCCTCTGACACTTAATAGCTGTGTGACCCTAAGCAAGTCCCCTAATCGCTGTCTGCCTCAGTTTCCACAGCTGTAAAAGGGGATGATAAGAGCACCTATCTCTTGCAGGGTTGTTTTGAGGATCAAATGAGATAATAGTTGTAAAGTGCTTAGCACAGTGCCTAGCAAGTAGAAGGCACTGTATAAATGCATATTTCCCTGTTCCATTGGTATAGCATTAGAAGTATAAATTAACTTTGATAGTATTGTCATTTTTATTTTATTGGCACAACCTAACAAGGTCTACTGAATATATCTCCAGCTATAAAAATTGTTATTTCTTTTCTGTTGTTTGCTCATTTTCCCAGCCTATTACTTGACTTTTAACTGTTTTTTAAAGTAGGGCTCTGCTGGGCAACTAGGAGGTGCAGTTAATAGAGCACTGGGCCTGGAGTCAGGAGGACCTGAGTTCAAATCTGTCCTCAGACCAAACACTTGACACTTATTAGCTGCGTGACCCTGGGCAAGTCACTTAACCCCAATTGCGTCAACCCCCCCCAAAAAAAAGTAGGGCTCTGCTTCCAGGGTGGAGGGCACACTGTCCCAAGCTTCAAGGGTTTTGTGTAGCTGTTTTCAAAAATACTTATAGGGACCTGTAAGTTTTCAGTTCTTCCAAGGTGAGCAACCACAAGCACTCTTTTCTGCCCTGGAATTGTGACGAGGGTCCCCCCCCTTCCACTGTGGCCACAGGCTCTACTATGCTAGTGCTCCTCCTCATCCTGGGACTGCCACCTAGGACTATGACCCTGATCCGAATGTGGACAAACCAACACAGTCCTGTCTCAATGCTAGCAAAGAGA